AATGAAAATTATCATGAAGCATAGTCCCAAGACATTTTAGCCACGCCTGTGTGTCGGCTTTTAAATATACTTCTTTTCGAGCTTCTACGAAAGACACACTCGAAAAAGGTACTACTAAGTAATATGATTTGTGCATTGTTTTTTGACTGCCTTATCAACTCAAGTATATTTTATAGAAGACATGCACGTAGGTACTCTTTATTGCATTAATTTTGTAAAAAATTATACCTTCTAAAACGTCATCAAAGAAAAGCTATGTCTCGGTTTTGACAAAGATTCCCTGTCCCGGAATAATTTTGAATGAAATCACTTTTTACACTTACGTTCAGTTTTTTTAAAATTCCACACTGCATACATTCGGCGAATGAAAAATACAAAATTTCTGTGCGCTATCACGAAGGCGGCATATAGAGTTTGAAAAAGTTTGTTACGGATATCGTTCACATGTTATACTTTATAAACAGCGTTAATAAACATTCACATATGATGCTATTTTAAAGGACATCTTGAGATCTAAAAATCGCATGAATATAAGAAATGTAAAAATCAAAAAGCACCCTTGCTTTGGAGATAACATTTGCAGAAGGTGTTAGCTTCTGCCATATTGTTAGAATACGGAATTATTTTGCACATTTCCCATATAAATATATTTGAATTTATAAGGCAGTCGAGAACCAATGTAAGAATCATGCCACTTATCGTTGTTTTTAAGGATTGTGGTTCTTAAAGAAGATCGAAAAGAAGTGCGCACGAAAGTCGAAATACTGGCATGGCGTCATATTCCCCATTTTCACGAAGAATACTATTAGTTTTAGTGTGTGCTGTACACTTGACGTTTGAGCTCCTTCGAAACTGCCGAACTTTTCTAAGTTCATTCATTTATCTTCTTGAAGGCTTATGGAGATGTAAGGGTTTCGTCCCCTTCAAGTTTAGATAAGCGAATTCGGACGTCGTAAAACTGATCTTCCATAGGAAATAATAGAATAAGACTAGTAGAAAGTAATGTCGGTTTTATGGTCTTCATCTGAATGCTATTTATTAGGTGTCTATGTCTACTCCATCTGAACTACGTGTATTTGTTAATCTGGCAAGCCCCGTTTTTTAGATTTTGGCAAAATTTTGTTTTTAGATTAAGCCTACCAAAATACGAGACATGAAATACAGTGAAAGTCATGTTCGCCCCGGTAAGCTGTGGGAATTTTGTAGCAGCAGTCACCAGAACGATTTTCTGGTGTTCGTCCGAATGTCTTTGGTGATCGCGTGTATCATCGTTGGTTGACGAAATTCCGATCGGACGATTTTGACCTCTCCGATGTCCGCCGTCCGCGAAGACCAGTGGTACTGTTTGGTGACCCACCCCTGTTGCGCAATCAGCGAGGCTGATCCTCATCCGACCATCGAATAACTAAGTTCTCCATCATCTACTGTTCAAGACCACCCACAACAAATGGGGAAAGTCAGAAGACTTGGTGTTTGGGTCCATGTCGAATTTCGACAGAAAACAAACCCTAACATTCCACTATCTGTGGCGTTTTGCTAAGCATAGGGGATTTGGGAACCATTTCTTGATTGATTTCTCACTGGTGATGAGAAATGGATTCTCGACGGTAACAAACGCCGAAAGACCAACGACTTTCTAAAGGTCAGGTACTGGTTTTTGTACCGAAATCAGACCCATACTTCAAGAAAGTCTTGAGAACTTCGTTTCAAGATGGGCACCAGTGAAAACGATGGCGATTATATTTGTGGTCAAAAGAACGAAA